GAGCTTTGCTCCATATTCAATGGGGGTGGCTATTGGCTTGCACTTCTCCATGCAAAATTTCTTAAGAACTTCCTTAACGTATCTTTGTTGAGATGAAGATTCCATCATCCAATTGCTTGACCTCGATGCCAAGATAATAGAACATAAGTCCTATATCAGTCATCTCAAACTCTTTAGTCATTGCCTTCTTGAAATTTTCGATCATGCTAGGCGAATCTCCATTGCTTGAAAACTTCACATAGAGTGCATGTTCACTTGGACATTTCTTAGAACCATTTTCCTGAAAATAGTGATTAATTCTTGTATTCCAGGCTCTTGGTGCTTGTTTCAAACCATATAGAGCCTTTCTTAGCCTGAGAACTTTATTCTCATGGCCTTTGACCACATATCCTTCTTGCTGCTCCACATATATTTCTTCTTCAAGAAAGCCATTTAAGAATGCAGACTTTACATCCATTTGATGGATTATCCATCTATTTTGGACAGCAATGGAAATTACTAACCTGATAGTCTCCAAGCGAGCAACAGGAGCAAATACCTCTTCGTAGTCAATGCCACGCCTCTGCTTGTAGCCTTTGGCGACAAGTCTTGCTTTGTACTTCTCAACTTCTCCTTTAGCGTTCTTCTTTTCTTTGAACACTCACTTTACTCCAATTGCTTTGTGGCCTTTTGGAAGAGAGGCTAGCTCCCAAGTTTGATTCTTTTCTATGGATCTGATTTCCTCATCCATAGCGTGTCTCCACTTCTCGTTCCTTACTGCCTCTTCATAACCTAGAGGTTCACAGTCAGCATAAAGTAAGAAGAGTGTGAGAGCCTCTATGCATTTTGTTTCCTCATAGATCTCTTGTAGGCTTCTCGTCCTTTGCGTCTCTTCATTCAAAGGTGAACGTGGACTGTGAGGTCCCTGAGTATCTTCACCCGCATCACTACTTTCATCATCGCATTCGTGGATGACATGAAGGAAGTCGTAGCTTTCACCACCTTCAATATTCCAATCCCAGGTTCCTTTTTCATCAAACTCTACATCTCTACTCACAATAACTTTGTTCGTGACTGGATTGTAGAGCTTATAACCTTTTGACTGTTTGTCATAGCCAACAAAAACATGCTTCTCGCTTCGATCATCAAGTTTGGACCGCTTTTGGCTTGGTACGTGGGCATATGCTATACTCCCAAACACTCATAGGTGATTTACTGTGGGCTTTGCCCCATTCCATGCTTCTTGTGGAGTCTTGTCTTCTAGACTCTTCGTGGGACATCGATTTAGTAGGTATACTACACAATCAACTTCTTCAGCCCATAACTCCTTTGGCATCTTCTTGCTCTTTAGTATGCTATGAACCATATTAAGAATGGTTCTATTCTTCCTTTCCACAACTCCGTTTTGTTGCGGAGAGTAAGGAGCGGTAAGGAATCGCCTAATCCCTTGTTCTTCGCAAAATTTGGTGTATTCACTTGATGTGAATTCTCCACCTCTATCAGACTTTAAGGCTTTGATTTTCAAGCCTTTCTCCTTCTCCACCACAGCCTTAAATGTCTTAAAGGCATCAAAGGCTTGTGATTTCTCCTTCAAAAAATACAACCAAGTCTTTCGAGAGAAATCATCAATAAATAGAATGAAGTAGGTGTTCTTACCATGGGATGGCGGAGAGATAGGACCACACAAGTCTGTATGGATGAGTTCTAAAGGCTCCTTAGCTCTTGATGTTGCTTCTTTTGGGAAAGCACTCCTCGCATGCTTCCCAAGTAAGCACCCTTCACATACTTGATTGGGCTGATTGATAGGAGGTAGTCCTTTCACCATGCATTTGACTGATAACATTTTCAAGTCACCAAAATTTAAATGACCATACCTCATGTGCCAAATCAACGAATCATCCTTCAAGCATGCTTTCATGCAGTTCTCATGTTGAATGTTCAACAAGAACATTCTATTGCTTATCATTGGCATAATGGTAATCAATTTTTTTTCTAGATCCTTAACTATGGCACTACAATCTTTCAAATAAATATCGTAGTTTTTCTCCAGAAGTTGTCCCAAACTCAAGATATTACTCTTAAGACTTGGAACATAATAAACTTCGGAGATGTATTGGTGATTTTCATCTTTAGCAAGGATTAGTATCTTACCTTTGCCTTCAACCCTTGCTCTAAAATCATCTCCAAACATCACGTACCCTTTGGCTGGTTCCATGTCTACGAACAACCTTTTTTCCTCAGTCATGTGGTTACTCGCAGCGGAGTCAAGATACTACGTCTTCTTCTCTCCTTTGTCTTCGTGTCTCGCCATTAAGAGAGTGAGTTGACCTTCATAAGATTGGCTTTTTCTTTTACTTGACTAGAATTTCTATACTCACTTGCATAATGACCATATTCTTGGCAATTAAATCATTGGATTCGAGATTTACCTCATTTCTGAAACTTCATACCTCTTCAACGACCTCTTGTAGATTGAGAGCCTTGGTTGTTGTCCTCTTTGGTGGATTGAACATAGCCTCCTCGAGCTCTTCCTCGTCCACGTCCTTGAAACCCACCATTGCCTCGTCCAAGGCCTCTGCCACGTCCAAAGCCTCCATCTCTTTTTTTGAAAGAGAATTTTGTGTAGAGGGCTTGCTCCAAAGATTCTTTGGGCCTCCTTTTCTTTAGTTTCTCTTCATGGGCTACTAAAGTACCCATGAGTTGATCAATGGTCATAGAGTCAAGATCTTTGAACTCCTCTATCGCTACCATAATATAATCAAAGCTTGGTGTCAAAGAGAGAAGAATTTTTTCTATCACTCTTGTGTCACTCAAGCTTTCCATTCCTTTTCATCTCATTAGACACTTTCAAGACACAAGAACAATAATCTGAAACAGATTCAAACTCCTCCATTTGTAAAGCTTCAAATTCTCCTCTAAGAGTTTAAAAACGTACCTTTTTCACCTTCTCAATGCCTCTATTAACATTCTCTAGAATCACTCAAGCCTCCTTTGATGTAGAAGCCTTTGCAACCTTCTCGAACATGGAATCATCTAGACATTGATGGATAAGTGAAAGAGCTTGTTGATCCTTTCTCCTTGCTTTGTTGAGTTCCCCCCTTTGGGCAGGAGTCAAAGAAGCCTCATCTAGAGGTTTCTCATAACCTTTCTCAACAATCTCCCTGATAATGTTAATATTAGCATGATATTTGTGGTGGTTTATGTGTTGTTTTGAATATTATCTATGCTAATATTAGTGCTTTGGTTCTTAATTTGATCATAGGAAGGATTTGGAACAAAAAGAAGAAAGTGTTGATTTTGAAGAGATTTTGAAGGTTTTATTGAATCAAGTATCAAGTTGGAGAAGAAGTGGTTGATTCCCGCGTGGGCACGCTGTAATAGGGACTAAAGTGCAAAATTTTCAAAGTTTTTGGGGTCAATTTGTAATTTTGGCAAACTTCAGGGACCTAAATTCTGAAACCTTTAATTGGTTACTGCGATTTCTGAACGGGCTGAACGTGGGGATGCCCTAAATTTGCATATAAATAGTCTTTTTCTTATTATTAAGAAAGAGAGGAGAAGAGGCACAACACAGGGAGCGACGGCTGGAGCTCAGGACAAGGATTTCTCTCCGTTTTCGTCAGTTTTAGCTCTGTAATGTCAAACAACTATTCTTGTGTTGTTGATTTCACCATGATTAGCAACTAAACCTCTTTTCTAGTTAAAGGATTTTATTGAAGTCTTGATGTTATTCAATTGTGAGATCTAACTGTTTGCTTTTCACCAACGAATTTTGAGTATTTATTTATTCTCTTTGATGTGTATTGATGATTATTTGGCATTATTTGAATAGCTGGTAACATTCAATTCTCCTAGATAACCTAATTTGTTGAACAACAAGGTTTGTTTGTTCCTTAGTAAAGACAATGCAAATAATTACTTGATAAGTAGTTTACTTGTGTTGTGAGAATAAATAATCAATTTTTAATGAAACAAGGTTTGTTTGTTAGAAATTGAGTTGGGTCTTTGTTTGTCGAAAACTTAATCCTAGGAGGTTCCAGGTAGTGTTTTTGGCTATAGAGTGATTAATGAAGGTTTCTTAGTCACTGGTAGTTAAATAAAAAGACTGAGTTATTAAGAGGTTCTAACAACGATAACTAATATATTCATCATTTGTTGAGTTAATCTTTGCATCAATGATCAGTTGGATACATCAAGGTGGAAATTATTCCTTTGACTAGAGTTGCTCTTATTATTGATTTTCCAAAAGTATCTTTTATTGCTTGCAAATTATTTTGGTTATTCATTAGTTATAATCCAAAAATCTCTCCCATTTAGTTACTTTGCTTTTAATTAGAAATATTTTCACTTCCTTGCTCCCTGAGGAGACGACTCTACTCATTGCTATACTACTAAATTTGTTAGGAGTAGAATCTTTTATTTTTGTTGGTTTGACATCCACCAAATTTTGGTGCCGTTGCCGGGGGGCACGATGAAATGATTTATTTCTCTTCAGAAGTTGTTTTTTTTTCCTTTTGTTTTTCTTTTCTCTATTTTGAGATTTTACTTTTGCCATGAGTTCATTTTGATATCATCAGTATAACACCTGGGATCCAAATGAGGTAAGACTCTTGTCCATCAGTCAACAACTAGATGAACTAACTTCTTCTGTAGGTCAACTCCAGCAGGTGCAAGCATGTGGTACATGTTCTATGCATGGTCACACAGCTAATTTTTCTCCAAATTTTCAATATCATCCACGAGGATATGTGGGTAACGAAGGAGGATTTTGGGAATCACCACGAAGGGGATATGAGCAGAATCCATATACACATTATCCAAGTTTGCAAGATTGCCCAAATTACGACTACAACCCACTACCACCATCACAACAAGTGTATCAACCACCAATGCCAGCGCCAGAGCCAGGTACGTCTTTAGAAGAAATGATTAGAAATTTGGCGATTAATGTGCATGATCTTATATAGGAATCGCAATCTACTTGTGTTACAATTCAAAACTTGGAGAATCAAATGGCCCAGATGGTTGCAGAAGTTAGTAGATTAGAGGCTGAGACATTTCAGATTCCAGATCAAGTTGAGAAGTACGTTACAGAGAGTAAATGTACAATGGTGGTGGAAGACACTCAAATCAAGCAGGATGTACTAAAGAGGGAAGAAATAAAAGAATGTAAGAAGGAGCGACCAAAGATTGTGATACCCCCTCTTTTTCCTGGAAGGTTGAGAGAACCGATTAAAGAAGAGGTTAAGCCAGATAATGTGGAGATTCCTTCTAAAGAGAATGTTCTAGTAGACACCACACAGGCGCATGATGAAGAAAGTGTTGAAGATGCAGAGGCAGAAGAAGCAATGGAAAAGGCTTTGGAAAATATTGATAAGGAAAGTGTTGTTGCTATGTATAATTGTCCTACTTATGCAATGTTTTCATCTCTTTTAGAGAGGTTTTTGGAGCCAAAGGAGGAAGAGAATGAGAAAGAAGCCTTAGAGAGCTCTTTCGAAGGTAATGAGATTATTTCGGTAAGCAATAATTCATATAGGACATTTAATTCAGAATTTCATCCAAAATGCAACATCTTTGGTATGTTGACTATATTTTGCAATCTTCAACAGGTTCAACTTGGTGAATTTAATTCGAGTAACTTACCTTGTTCTACATTTGACTTGTTAAAACATGAGCCTTTATCTAAAAGCAATGTGGCTATAAATATTGTTGACGAGTCTCTTGAATTTCCTACTTGTATGTTTGAGAAATCTATAATGAAAAGTGGTCATTTGTTTTGCCTGTTACTTTTGATGTGATTGATTTGAACGAAAATTCTGCAATAAAATTGATTTCACTTTTCTAAGGAAGATCATTTCGAAAAACTACTAGAAATAAATTAACAAATGGAGTTAAATCTTTAGGTTGGGAAATTGTGAATTTGAATGCTAAGTGTGCTTCACGAGTTAATTTGAATGGTAGTTGTCCTTTTGACTATGTGCTAACAATTTTTGAAAAGTGGAAACCATCAAAAGTTGACTTAAGATCCGTACATATAGATCTTAAGCATGGATATGGACATTTGCTTAGGCCTCCTGAATTTGGGTGGATGATAGATGTCAATTTTGAATTTCATGTTTGTGTTTACGTGTGGAGAGTGTGTAATACTTTTAAAGAGTCATTTAGGGGAGATCATTTTCCACCTTTGTTTGTTGATACAATGCTTGAATATCAGTTTGAGACATATAACCTTGGTTTTGTTGAGGCCTATTCAGAGTTGTATCAAATTCTGATTGTGTGTGGAGCTTTCAAATTTCCACCTTGATACATACAAACTGTGTCTAGCCCAAGACACTAAAGAAAGGCGCTTGTTGGGAAGCAACCCAATGGTTTGATTTTTGTTTTTTTTTTTTTGAATAAATCGACTAAGTGGTTAAGTTTTTTGTTCCTGATGATCTTGAGATCCATGATTTCTTGATTTTCGTGGTTTTTCTTAATCATTTGATTGACGTAGAGTTAGGTTTTTTTTTAATGGTTTGTTTGAGTGTGACAGCTAGCTTTCGAGGAAAATTATTCTACGTGGTCAATCCTTTTGATCCAATGCAAAATGATGTTACTCCCGCTTCACATCAAGTTTGATTCCTCCACTACGAATTCCCAAGGAAGTACCATTTTGTTTTTTCTTTAATATTATTTGGGAGTTTGTATGTGCTTTTATTCTTTGTCTCTGCATGTTTTATACATTGAGGACAATGTATGCTTTAGGTGTGGGGGAGGAGTTTGTGTGTTTCAATTTTGTCTTCATTAAATTGCTTACTTAAGAATTAAACTTCTTTTTGATAAATTTTTTTCAAAAATTTGAGTCTGAGCCATTGTTTTCAAACGTTTCAACTGTTATGTTGCTAATCATCATAGGTTGAAAAGTGAAGCATGAAAAACATAAATTTTTCTTTGCTATGTACTATTCAGATATGTTATGAATTTAAGTGTTGAAGTTGATGATTGGAATATTATCACAAAAAAGTTACTTTAAATTGAGTGATCTGAGCTTTTCTGAGCAAATAGAGTTAGTGTATTTGAATGCTCAACATTTTTATGTGGGAAGTATATCATATCTAGTATGGATTAATCGTGAATTTGCCGAGCTAGGACGCATCTGTGCTCTTGTAGATGGCTTGCCACAAGAATAAAGGCACTAGGATTTAGCCAAGTTAGCTTAAAAAGCCTACCCATTTATGTTTACCCTAGTGAACCATTCAAGCCTTGACAGTTTTTTCTTTAGCTCTAGATATATTAAACCATTAGCCTTGTTTTTTTTTTATCCTTTACCCTTTTGTCAAGCTCTGGATTAGGTTACTTAAACTGGGTTTGTGGTAAGAGTTAGACATTATAGTGGCATGTGTTCTTGTTTTAAGTTATGCATTTGATGTAATACAGGGCGTGTGAAAAAAAGAAAAATGCAAAAAAAGGGAAAAATACCCGGCAAAAAAGAAGAAAAAAAATCGCATGAATCCTTATTTTCTACTTGTTTGAGAGTATGGCAAGTTTTTAATTATATTTTTGAGATGCCATAGGTTTGTAAATGTAATATGAGAAGTTTACTGCAAGTTCTTATGCAAAGCACACTTGAACTCTGAAGTGTGAGGATGAGCAATGTCATTATATGGGATATATGGTAAGATGGTGGAGTTTAAGTATACATAATCTATCTTGACAAAATAATAAGCCTACATCCATAATTATCCACCCTTTTCCTTACCTAAAGCCCCATTACAACCCTATGTAAAGACCTTTATTGGTAAGTTTATTTGCTTGGTGTATGATGATGTGACGCCTTTTCAAATTCTTGTGTATTCTGCTAGATATTGATTTGTGTGAATTGTTTGATACGCTACACTTGAGAGAAAACAAGAAAGAAAATGAGGGAACTTACTGGTGAGGTGATTTTGTTCCAATCATTGATGGAGTTTAGGGATGAAGCAACTATCTTGTTGACTATGCATAGTATTAGAGGAGCTTATGTTTGATTGCCTAATTGATTAAATTTATGATTCATGTGTGACATGGTAGTTGAGATTGTGTTTTAAATGATTTCCAAATTTTGTGGTTCAAAGTAGTGGTTTGCAAGTTGAGTTAAAAGTTATTCTTTTTAAGTTTGCTTGAGGACAAGCAAAAGCTAAGTGTGGGGGAGTTGATAATGTCAATAGTAGTACAATATTTGTGGTGGTTTATGTGTTGTTTTGAATATTATCTATGCTAATATTAGTGCTTTGGTTCTTAATTTGATCATAGGAAGGCTTTGGAACAAAAAGAAGAAAGTGTTGATTTTGAAGAAATTTTGAAGGTTTTATTGAATCAAGTTTCAAGTTGGAGAAGAAGTGGTTGATTCCCGCGTGGGCACGCTGTAACAGGGACTAAAGTGCAAAATTTCCAAAATTTTTGGGGTTAATTTGTAATTTTGGCAAACTTCAGGGACCAATTTGCAAATTCTGAAACCTTTAATTGGTTACTGCGATTTCTGAACGGGCTGAACGTGGGGATGCCCTAAATTTGCATATAAATAGTCTTTTTCTTATTATTAAGAAAGAGAGGAGAAGAGGCACAACACAGGGAGCGACGGTTGGAGCTCAGGACAAGGATTTCTCTCCGTTTTCGTCAGTTTTAGCTCTGTAATGTCAAACTCTATTCTTGTGTTGTTGATTTCACCATGATTAGCAACTAAACCTCTTTTCTAGTTAAAGGATTTTATTGAAGTCTTGATGTTATTCAATTGTGAGATCTAACTGTTTGCTTTTCACCAACGAATTTTGAGTATTTATTTATTCTCTTTGATGTGTATTGATGATTATTTGGCATTATTTGAATAGCTAGTAACATTCAATTCTGCTAGATAATCTAATTTGTTGAACAACAAGGTTTATTTGTTCCTTAGTAGAGATAATGCAAATAATTACTTGGTAAGTAGTTTACTTGTGTTGTGAGAATAAATAATCAATTTTTAATGAAACAAGGTTTGTTTGTTAGAAATTGAGTTGGGTCTTTGTTTGTCGAAAAATGAATCCTAGGAGGTTCCAGGTAGTGTTTTTGGCTATAGAGTGATTAATGAAGGTTTCTTAGTCACTGGTAGTTAAATAAAAAGACTGTGTTGTTAGGAGGTTCCAACAAAGATAACTAATATATTCATCATTTGTTGAGTTAATCTTTGCATCAATGATCAGTTAGATACATCAAGGTGGAAATTATTCCTTGACTAGAGTTTCTATTATTATTGATTTTTCAAAAGTATCTTTTATTGCTTGCAAATTATTTTTGTTATTCATTAGTTATTAATTATTAATTAGTCTCTCATGTTAAACTCACATTACATATATCGCACATCATAGATTTGTGGGTCAATGCGTACGATAAGTTTAAACATGAGCCAGCCCACCGCCACCGCAAGTAAGGTGAAATTGGAAATGAACTCCAAGAGATAGTATATGTATCATGTACTGCACATTTAGAACTCCCACCAAATATCAGAGCCCGTGTCAAATATATAAGTACTTTGAGCTTCCATCTTAAAACCAATTGGCAATGAGTGGAGTGACGTTTGAAACTTATATACAGAGTCACTTTTTTTTAATGGTGGCGATGCGGGGCAAATAATACACCTTAACACCTTCACTCAAGTTCAAGGAGTCTTTGAACTTTTTGCCCAATGGACTGGGATCAGGACAAGAACAGAATAGCCTACGAGTCAACGAACTCAAGTCCAATGAGTCTTTGAACTTTTTGCCCAATGGAGTTGGATCAGGACAAGAACAGAATAGCCTACGAGTCAACGCTCAAGTGAGAGAAAACCAGTTACATCGCTTGATCGGTTCAGAACAAACCCATGAGCAATGCTCTAGTGAGAAAAATATAAAATCACCACAGGCCACCTTCTATTCAAGACATCACCACAAGCCCAGACCGCTCTGATATCATGTCAAAGTATATAAGTACTTTGGGCTCCCATCTCAAAACCATATGACAATGAGTGGAGTAGCCTTTGGCACTTATATACAGAGTCACTTCTTTTCACGGTAGCGACGTGAGACAGATAATACACCTTAACAGCCAAACAACAAAAAGAAGATGAAAAAAAAAGTCATAAAAAGAATTAAATTCAGTGGAGATGGTCTGAAATGATAATAATCAGTAAATCACAGAAACCAACTACCGAAAGAGAAATACTCAAACCCTAACTTTTCGATAAATCTATACGAGCAAAAAAGAAAAGAAAAAGGTGATTTTGTATGATTATATCACAAATAATAAGACCAATGATTAGGGATTGTCAACAATGACGGCCTCTAGTTTGTTATAGTCGGCATTGATATCTCCAACTCCATTTCTTGCTTTATTGCCTTGATTCTAAAGGAAGGCACTAGAAACTAAATGAGGACAACAATTCTATAATGGCAATTAACGATAAAACTGCATGTGGCCACCTTTAGGAGTACACATTCAACTCTCATGACACCGGAGAAAATAATTAGGCACCACTAGGTGAGCACATAAATTGTGACAATCGCATCCTTACGCCTTTGATCTTCAGGATGATACAACCACATCTTTGCTCCGGAAACAAATCATCATCGACTTGATCAATATTTTTCCTCCTTGAGAAATCGACTAATTAATGATTGACTCAAATTTAATAAAAGGAAAATGATGTATATAGTGATACAAAATATTAAGAAAATATAGTGACTGATGTGGAGTAATTATAGAGCCCTATTTTTTAGTTACTTAACCGTTAAAATTATATCTTTCCCGTAAAATTACAATTTTA